GAAAACTGAATATAAAGCATGTATACAGTATGTAAATTGAAGATGTTCATATGCATATGTGTGTGTGTATATATATATATCTATATGGTCCTACTTGCTGGCAATATTTCTAACAATAACTGAATTAACATGTTAAAAAAGCAAAATGAAGTAAGTATAGGCACTTGTAGTTTATAGGTATGCTTCTGAAAAAAAGTAGTGCTCATCAATTGGGAATGATTCTCAGCCTCTGTTAGCCAGCTCCTACCTGGTTTTAATGAAAAATGAAATGGGCATTAATAATGAAGTAACAGTGTTGGGCTCTGATCCAAATTCCATTTAAGTCAATAGGAGACTTTCCATTAAATTCAGTAGTCTGAGGATCAGGCCCTTAGAGTACTGCCTTGTTAAAACATCTCCTTGCTTTGCTTTCAATCACACGGCTGCTGTTTCTGTTCCAACAGAAGTGGGGCTAGAAGATCCCATGATAGCCAGAAGGCAGCCACAAGTTAGAAAGGAATCCAAACCCATGTGTAGATTTCAACAGCTGTTTGGTTACCCAGATCTACAGGATTTAAAGTGCAACTATAGACTTTTCAAAGTGGAAGTAAAATGATATCCCAAAAGAAGCCATGGAGATGCCGGGCTGGCATCACTTGACTGTTGCTGTTTTCTCTGACAGTGCTTAGGTTGAGCAGGATGCCTGTACCAAAAATCATTTCTCAACTGTAGGAGCAGGTTGGATGTTTTAGGGCGAGGGAAATCCCAGTGCCACTTTCCTCTAAGGAACTGACAACCCCCCTGTGCCTGAATTCAGTCTGTGCAAGAAGGACTATTAGTCCCAGGGCAGTTCTCCTTAGGGAAGAATAGCACAACTGGATGAGCAATGCTTAACCCCTTAACCTAATTTAATTCTTTAATTTGGCAATTATGGATAAGGAGTTTTGGCACACAATAGGGGAGCAGAAGGTGGACAGGAAAGTTTGCTTTGCTCTAGAATTGGAAGGAAAGGCATGAGTCTGGTGAAAACTGGGGGAGAAGCACTTGATTCAGCACTTCCCAAACTTTGTGCAAAATGATCAACTCTCAATACTTTCTCTGAAGAACATCATTCATCTGTATCATCACACATTTCCTTGAAAGTATGATCAAGTAGAATAATTTTGTGGACCGAGGGTCATGCACCAGTACTTTTAATTAATATAATTATATTAATTATAAGAGTTACAGTAGTGTTTATTTTTTCCTTCCTTTCCCTATTTCTCTTCTACTTTCATTCTCTTCTTGTTGGGATTTCAAAATGTTTTTTCCTCTTTTTCTTTGTTTTTCAGTAAAACAAGAGATTCTTATGAAAAAAAAAAAAAAAAAGTGGTTTTGTGTTGTGCCTAAATAGCAGTCGTACTTTTTCTTAGTGTTCCATTGCCTTGGCCTAACCTACCTTGTCTTCACCTTCTGATTATTTTTTTTTTTAATTTAGGCAACAGTATTAGATGATGATGTGAGATGGAGAGCCAGGTCCATAAGAAACCCTACTCCTAGCCTATCAAGAACTTCAAAGATTTAGAGTAAGGCTTTGACCTGAACTCCAGAACAAGTGGAAAGCACTCAAAAAGCATAAAGGACTGTCAAGAAAAGCTAGTTTGTGGTCCTAGTGTATATTCACTAATGTATGTGTACAATCCCACTTCCTACCATTAACTAACTAAAATATTCTGTCACCCTCTAGTGGTGGGTCTACAACACCAAACTTCTGATAGTGATAAAAAGATTTTCTCACTGCATGTCTAGTAGAAGACGTTCTCACATGTAGGAGAAACTAGGCTTCAATGTTTGATGTCCTGTGCATACACACTTGTAATTTTGGTCTCCACTGCATTTATCTGTAAGTGAATTGTATCCTATAACTTCAAGCCAAAAATGAGAGATGTAAATTGTCTGTGTTGGTTTGGGGCAGATTAATTAATTAAAGAGGGGTTTATAAAAATTATTTCTGCACTCTTCTCCTTGGATAAGTCAAGAGAAAATTGACTGAATTCCAACCTGCAGAGTTAGGGAACATGACTTTGCACTTGAAGCCCATATTGGCTAATCAAATCCCTTCTTTCTTAATTCCTAGTTTGACCCATAATAAAAGTCCCTGTCTAAGACTGCCTGGTGCTGTACTGGACAAGTGCAATGCCCATTCAAATCTGTGAAAGCTGTAATTGTGCCTGCAATAATAGTGTGACCTCTGCATCGTACACACCTCTTGGCATATTTGACAGTAAAGTAACATAACAAAGCCAAAATATTTGACATCACCTATTCCATTAGCTTCAGCAATACTTACGTACAAAATCTGGGTTTCTGACCCAGCCTTAGAAAAAGCTGAAAGTGCAGTATGCTAGAGAATATCATTTAAAGGGTTCATTTATCAAGATTCCCAGGAACTGATAATATTGATGCATTTTACACTGATATTGGACAATTTGGCTTCAGATCACATATGTTTTAAAGCGTCCTAAGTAACAGCAAAATACTTGGTTTGAAACTGAAGTGGTGTGCTTTTTCCTCCTAGATCAGGAGGTAGTGAAACACACAGAAAGCTGATTGATAGCTTGAGACGGCTGTAACAGTCCCTTTTGATCACTTTGCAGATGCTCTTCTCAGAGGTAAAGCAAGTGTTATTCATCTCTGGCCGGAGACTGTACAATTCCTCTTAACATAATTTGGTATTTCAAGTATTAAATGATACTAAGTATCTGATATCTCTGTAATTTTATCAGTATGGGCCATGCATTCACCACTTATGTGTGAACTCAGAATTACCCAATAATTAAATTGGTTCAATGTATCTTTGTTAAAGAGGTGTATGGCAGCGTCTTTGTAGTCACAAATGAAATATAAGTATGTATCAGTATGTCACAAATAGTGCCGCAAAGGCTTTTTAATACCTCCTCACCAGGAGGAATTTTTTAACCTATCTGCCCTTAGACACTTCAGGATTAATTATTCCCGCTCAGACCAGATAGAGCCTTCCAGCTACCTCACGGAAAGGCAAGGTGTTTTCATGAGGGACGATGCACTCAGTAAAACTTCAGGTTTCTCAAGAAAGAACACAGCGTACACCTCCTGTAATGTGTAAAGAGCCTGGGACAGTCAAGAGGGGGGTCTTGACCATATTCGTAATTAGCGAAACTTCTTCTGAATCTCTGAAATTTTGGCAAATCTGCCAGTCTTTGCTCCCACACTCAGAAGAGTGTCCTACAAATACAACTGGGAAGAGAGGGGGAAAATATTCCTCATGTCGTCATGAACATTAGTTCAGTGTTTTAAAAATAATACCAAAAAACTGGCAGATTTTGCACTTACTTTCAGGTTTTATCATTTACTATCTGTGGGTTTTTATGTCTGTATCTGAATCCTGCAAACATGCATATAATACATATCGCACACGTGTCCATCCACATGCGAGCAGAGCTAGGCAGATCCACGGAGGCAGAGATTTGCATTCATTTTATCATATTCATTTAATTTCCCTTAGTTTACTGGGGAAAACAAGGGGTTTTTGCTAATGGAACTGCTGTTATACTTAGGGAAAATGAAGTTATCTTATCTTTCTCATCTTTATCATCGCAGATAATGAAGCAATTTCAGTAACGTGTGTGTCAGCGGATTGTTGGTGATGGTACATCCTTCAGAAAGAATACAAATAGACTTCACTGACCCTGGAGTGCTGAGAGTAACATGAAACTTACTCTGACTTGTAAACTGAGCAAACATGACATGGAGGTCACAGAATAAGGGCATATATGCATCTTTCAGCTCTTGTTTTGACAAAGTGACTTCCTTCTCCAGAGGGACATTTCTGCCATTTTTTTCCAGCATGTTTCGCCTTTCACTGGCTATTAATCCCAGTATGACTTAACTGCAAATTATGTTTCCCACCTATAAGCTCATGGGATTTAATTCTTAAATTTTTTTCATCATTTACCTGAGCACACAGAGTTAGCACTCAGAAGATCTAAGAAAATAAGGGTATGGAAAACAACACATTGAGTTTAAATCAAATGTAACAAGTTATAAATATTGGGACAAAGAGTATTATTAAAATTCACATTCACTAATGGAAATTTTTTATTACTAGCAGCTTTAAGAAATCCGGGTAGCCCATAACATTTTAAAAAATCTATGCATTTTCTAATATTCTATGCAGTATTCTTCCAGCTTTAGTAAGATAGCTTCCCTGTGTCTGATGCAGTCTAACATTTATATAGACATCAGTTTTAACCAGAATTTTCAGAACTTTATGAACTGGATTAACAAAGGAAGTTTTGCTAAAAGTGAAATTATTTGGAATATTCTTATTTTTCTGAATGTGTGGCTCATGGAACATCTTTGGTAAAGGTGTGGATAGCATCCCATCACAGAATACTTCAAAAGGAAGGAATCAGCACAGCAACTAGCGTATTTATTCAATGCAGTAGAACAAGTGTGGATGGGGTTTAGCCTCTTCATCATGCTAGCTAAATGATAAAGCACTATTAGCAGTTATCAACCTGTATGGTAAAGGACACTGAAATTCTTATCCCTGGTTTGCAGATGGGAAAATGAGACATGTCAAAGATCACTGCAGACTTTTGCTGGAACCCACCTTCTTGAATCTGTTTTCAACCAGGCCATCAAATATGATGACAATAGTAATGGCTGCTTATGTGAACAACTGTGACAGGCTTGGTTGTCTTTGTTGTGTAGGTTATTGGGTCAGTGATGCCAGTTCCAAGTTTGGAAAAAGCAAAATGTCAGGCTAGGTCAGGAAGCAGAGGGGCTAAATTCTTTTTTTTACAATGCTGAAGAGAAACCTGCAAGGTAATAGGGATTAGTTATTTTTCTAGCATAATAACCAAACTCCATGTCAAGGAGAATTCGATGGTCCAGATATGTGTTTTCCCATGGTGGGACTCTTAAAGAGACTTCAGAGGGGAGAACAGCAGCATTTTGTAGCTTCTAAGTATTGTCTGGTTTTTGTTTTTTCTCAACAGAGCTACAGTGAACCTGTTGATGTTAAAGCCTCCCCGCAACCTCAGATGATGAATTCAAAGCAGTCGGTGTTTCATGGGCCCACCCAGGCTCACTCTGCACTGTACCTCAGTTCCCACTACCACCAACAACCAGGAATGAATCCTCACATCACTGCCATGCATGCCAATATCCCCAGGAACATAGCGCCCAAGCCCAACAACCAAATGCCAGTGACTGTTTCCATAGCAAACATGGCTGTGTCCCCGCCACCACCGCTTCAGATCAGCCCCCCTCTGCACCAGCATCTCAACATCCAGCAACACCAGCCAATTTCAATGCAGCAGTCCATTGGAAACCAGCTACCGATGCAGGTCCAATCTGCTTTACATTCACCTACAATGCAGCAAGTAAGTTGTCTGGGGAAATGTATTTTTTGAGAAAAAAAAAAGTCATCCAGAAGTTGACATAGTGAGGGAGATTTAGAGCCATGGATTAGCTTTAGTTTTGCAGAGTTCCAAAACCGCAGTAGTATAGTCTGAGGACTTAGTCTTTCAAAGGCAAGAACAAATGAATGAGTTTACCTAGATGATGGGGAACTTCAGTGGAACTGTTTGTGCTAGCAACAATGTTCATCACATTCTTCTGAACACTAGCCATGTCTTCCCTAACAAATTCAGGAGGCATCCTTTAAATAGAAGTGTGTCCATAGATCCCTCTACAAATCTGGGAGTACCCTGAAATATAAGTGAAATGTTAAGTCTTCAGGAGACATATTTTACAAACAAAAGGCAGGCATGTCTAAAAAAAGATATGACTGTAGCATGTGCCATTATCCTTGTGCTGACTGTGACGTGGGATAGTCAGAGGCAACATGAAGCAACACAGGTTGTGTTAAACATCCTAGATTAAGTGAACAGTCAGTTTATGCTGCATTCATAACTTCATTTTGCTAGATAGACAGTCCTTTGTTTTACTGGAAATAAGTGGGCTGTCCCCAGTATCCCAATATGGTGGCTTTTTTTTTCATTTTCAGTGTTTTAAATAGTTGATTCTCAGTATATTTCCTAGGAGTTCTGAACGAATGCAGGCTAGCCATAGTATTGTGACTTTTGGGCCCAGGCCTATGGAGGGTTAGAGCAGATTAACTCTGCTGATTTCATGAGAGAAAATTCCTTTTTGTATTGGATGAGATCTGACTATCAATAATAAGATCTTGCTTTGCATAGAAGCATTAGAATGAAAACTTTTTGAATGGATTTGCAAGAATCTACAAAATTTGTATACACAAAACTTGTCAGTTCTGGTTGATAATACATAGTCATGAACTTGCTACATGTTTTGAATATCTCTATGAATTCACCTTTGCTAACAAGGTATTTGCATTTGCTTTCCAAGCCAGAAACATTTCATCTCAAGATTGGTCTTTAGAGATAGGAATACCTGAACACAAAACATAGCTTCTAGCTGGGAGAACAATTTAACAGGGAAAGAAATTTTCCAAAGCAGGACAAAATAAGAGCTGAAAGCAATCTGGACTGATAAATTCAGTTGTTCAGAAGGTAAACCAAGGTGTGCTCAGGATGATCTGGATTTTTTCAGAGACTTTGATCTTAGTCTCAGGAGTGATTTGGAGTAATTAGACAGAAAGGAAAAATTGTAAAGTGTTTACAACTTTTTCCTAGTCGAGTTTATTTTTCACGATCAGAGTAAACAGATTTATGACCACACAAATGTGAAGTCTTTTACTGTCATGTATTCCTGAAGGCTTTCCTATTAGTTAGAAACCCAGTGTCCCAGTGTGAGTGTCCTGGGAGAGCCCATGCTCAAGTCTCAGAGAAACTCGGGAGTTAACCTCAAGCCTGGACAGCAAGAATTAGCTAGTGGTAGTCCTAGACGGGTGAGCCAGCAGGGTCTGTCTGGAGATCCCAAGCCTAATGCAATCCTGGTTGAGCCTGAAGGCTCAGAGCAAGGAGAGACAAAGCCATGGACAGAGACTCAATGCAATAGCCCAGTTCATTTACCAAACGACATCTGTGACAGCAGCCTGTTGAGACTGTATAGTTATATTTCAGCAAGTTTTTATTGCAAAGTGATTCAGTCTTCCAAGTTCAGACTGTTTGCCAAGCTTAGTGTCATTTGTACATTACTTGTCCAATGCAGAGCTATAGAAGATCAAACCCCTTATGTCTTTTCCAGAATCATTGATAGCCATAATTTACCAAACAGATTTGAAAATCTGACTTTATTTATTGAATTAATAGTACAGTAGCGGCTAGCAAAAAATGTAATGCAGATGTTAGATACTTACATATGTGTACCTACATTGTCATCATCATTGTATGAATCCAAACACCTAGGCATTATTCCAAACTGTTACATACTACAAAAAGGTCAGATAATATGAATCTTTTGGTGTTTTATTTTACCAAGTTGCATACTTGAAGCATGTGCTGTGGACGTCAATGGCTTGAGAGTACTTTTCACTCGTCTGTGAGATTTGCGGCATGCAGTTGAGTTATTTCTAGCTCAAGAGAAAACACAGGGCACTAGGTTGTAGAAAACAGCTGTCTACAAGTCAATATGTAGACCTGTACCATGATGAATCTTTTGCTTTACTAAGTATGAGTACAGTAAAGTAAAAAATGCTGTACCTCTGTTCCTGCTCTCCATTGTTAAATTCATGAAAGGTTAGCTTCAATACTTTTTACCAACTCATATTGCATAGTCAGAAAGGCTGATGCTTATAATGAAGATACCATGGTGAGATATTTCTAGGCTTCACTCAAGGTGTCAGGTGCTTATTACCTGTTGAAATACTACACCGCCAATCTTAACTACATTTCTTTTTAAGCACTGTGGAACATCTACAAGCCAGTTTATATTTCTTATGCTCCTGCTTTTGTTCCAAAGTAGGACAATTTTTGTGCTCTGGAAAATCTATGTAATTTCACTTCGGAATATTTGTAATTTTTTTTTTTTTTGTTAGCATAGAACTGTGTAAACAGTTTGCAAATTGAGTTTAAATATAGAATCCATTTCCTTTAAAGAGTGATATTGGCAAAGACAAAGCAAAAAGTATGTTAAATTTTAGGGCAACAGTTGTACTAACAACACCATGATTTGTCATGCCAGAGCAGAACAGTGGTATCCTGTCTAGTCTCTTAGGTATGACTCTTTCTAGACATACTCAAGAAATGATAGAAAACATTATCCCCAGGATTGCATACTGCAGTAGAGCACAGAAGACAGGCTGACCACCAGAAGGCATGTAGCAAGAATTCAAGAAACTATAACTTGAAAGTAAAGGCCTCCTTCTGACTCAGTTGTCAAAAGACTCTGCTCTCCCCTCTGCTTGAAATTGAGCAAACACTCTGCTGATCACAGAGCATGCTAAGGAGGAAAAGACATAGTGGAAAGAAAAGCAAGCCTTCCAAACGATGACAGCAGCACAGACTCAACAGCAGTGAGGACAAAGAAGAGGCGTAGCACCACCCTGTATGTCCAGCCCGTGGTGAGGAGGGAAGGAGGACTCTGGATATGAGGTTCAGTCCCCAGCAGCATGTCATAGACCACTCCGCCTCATAAAACACAGACAAGAAGAATGGGAGAATATGTAGTCTGATAAAGCAGAAGCAATAGTTGCTTTTAATTCAACATTTTTTCAGTTCCTCTTCCCTCAGCTGTTTGGTTTCCTCCATGCTAAAGTTGTGGCCGCCCTAAGCCTTTTCCAAAGACTCCAGCAGGCAGCCAATTTATGTAAGGAGTAAGAACAGAAACTAATTAACATCCCACTCCCTACAGCTTGACTTGCAACAGGAGACATTTTCCTTTTCAGAAATATCACCACTGCTCATACCAAACAGATTAATACACTTCAAGAAGGAATGAGATAAATTTTCTCATGTCACACTGCAGTGTGAAGCTTAATAGGCAAGCGAGGGGTAAGTCTGTCAACAGATTCCTAGCAGACTTCTACCACAGGCATTCTCAGACTCACCTGCATGGGCACCACCATTGCAGAGAGACGGCTGTGCTGTAGACATGTTAGAAGCAGCAGTCACAGATCCTGCCGATGGTGGGTTCTTATTCAGCATCCAGCTTTGAAATAGTTCATGGTTTACTAGTGTGACGCTCAACAGTAGCAGGCTCTGGGAATCCCTGCTCTCTACAGATCCCCTGCTTTTGCTCTGGGAGATTTGGTCACTCATTTACTCTAGGAGAGGGAAGATAGTTTCTTAGAATCATAGAATCATAGAATCGTTAAAGTTGGAAAAGACCCTTAAGATCATCGAGTCCAACCATTAACCTAGCACTGCCAAGTCCACCACTAAACCATGTCCTCAAGCACCATGTCTACCCGTCTTTTAAATACCTCCAGGCATGAAGACTCAACCATTTCCCTGGGCAGCCTGTTCCAATGCCTGACTGCCCTTTCGGTGAAGACGTTTTCCCTAATATCCAACCTAAACCTCCCCTGGCGCAGCTTGAGGCCGTTTCCTCTCGTCCTATCGCTTGTTACTAGGGAGAAGAGACCAACCCCCACCTCACTACAACCTCCTTGCAGGTAGTTGCAGAGAGCAGTAAGGTCTCCCCCCTCAGCCTCCTCTTCTCCAGACTAAACAACCCCAGCTCCCTCAGCCGCTCCATGTAAGACTTGTGCTCTAGACCCTTCACCAACTTCATTGCCCTTCTTTGGACACGTTCCAGCACCTTGATGTCCTTCTTTTAGTGAGGGGCCCAAAACTGAACACAGTACTCGAGGTGGGACCTCACCAGTGCCGAGTACAGGGGCACTCTTAGATAAGTCTTCTTATCAAAGACCGTCTTGTAGTATGTCTGAAGGACTGCCAGCTCCAAGAAAAATCACATAAAGATCCAGATTTCAGTCCTGGCAGCAGAACACAGTTCCCCAGAACCACTCTGCGTGAAATCCACGAACTCTTCTTCTGTGCGTAACTTCGAGGAAGGACGGATAAGAAGTACTGGCCTGGGGAGAGAGTTCTGCCCCCACTGCTGCCAGGACAAGGATCTTCATCAGCTCCACAGGGAACAGCGTGTCCTCCTCCACTTCCAGCAGCCCTCACCTGCACGTGTGCAGCTACCAAACCAAGAGAGACTGCCAGCTGGAGAAGGGCAGTCTCCTCCCGGAGTCCACAAAAACTACAGAACATCAAGAAGCTTGGAAGTGTTGGTAGCCAAAAATCCTCAGTGACTGCACAATTCCTGTTATTTTTAAAATCAATTAATTCTGTGGAGTATGCAGCTGATGCAATGCATCCAAATTGTTCTGAAATGCACAAGGCAAAGTAAAATTTAAGTATTAGCATTTTGGGCATATGCCTAGCATCAGTAAATAGTTTTTAATTTCTTTTAAACAATCTTCTCTAGTTTGAGTCATCTGAATATTTTTTGTAGCTTCTGCAAAGTAGACCATTTTGTCTCTATTCCTTTCTGTTCCAAAACAGTTAATGAATAAATTAAATAATGGGCACTACTGTAGACCTTTGGGGTGCTCGTTTACAGTGTTAATCCTTTACGCTGTAAAAAATGACCATTTAGTTCTATTCTCATACTTAGATCTAAATTAGATCCTGTTTTTGATGATGTTTAACTTCTAATTCTGAAATATACTATATTTTTCTTAAATATTATTAACAGGAGCCATGTTAAAGTTTTACTTTGTTAGAGTCTAAATCCACTGTGTAGCAGTTTTTTCTTTCATCCACTTTTGACACACTGGAAGAATCCCAGTAGATTAGAAGAGTGTGATTTTTCTTTCATTAAATGCTCATGTAAGCGTCTTATGACTTTATTATTTTTTAACTGATACAGAGTTGTTTCCCTCCAGTCTGTTTCTTAGCTTTGACGTGATGTTTAATTTTTACTTAGTTGGGATCCGGTGATCTGAATCTTAACCCTTGTCATTCAAATCAGCATGATTTCTCCAAAGTTCAGGCTAAAACGGCATCTGAAGCTGCAACCTGTTTTCTTTTGCAAAGCCATTCTTTCTTTTCTCTACTTAAACAGACACTTGTGCTTCCTTCTGAGTATACCTCCCTCTCCAGCCTGTTGTACTGTGCTGTTTTGTGTGGAGAGTGATGAGTCCAAGGATTCGCTCCCTCCCAAATATGCCCAGTCCTTGTTAAGGAACCCATTTAAGTAGCCCTACTGGAAGCATCTCCTTCCCTGCTTAAAATCCTTCACCCAAGCATTGGGTGGGATGGTGGGTCCCATTAAAATCTCTGTCCCACTTCAGTTCACAGGTAGAGCAAGCAAAACTCGATTCTTAATGTCTAGTAACCATGGCTGCAAGTGTATGCATAACAAAGAAGCAGAAGATTAATGTATGTCACGTTTTATTTTTTATTTTTTTTATTATAATAACTCATTTCAGTCTACTTTTAGGTATTTTTTTTCCTTTAGAAAATAAATGTATACAGCAAAATGATTGCATAGCCTGCCAAAAATAATAGCCTCATTTTTTCTGGTATACATTATATACAGTAAACTCAGGGACCTGCTGTATTTGTCCAGATTTCTTCCCTTTTTTTGTGATGCTTTGTCTTCGAATGAGGTCAAGAGAAAAAAAAAATCATTAATATCTGTCAACTTCCTTTATAACCTTAAGGAAAAATCTTTGTATGATATCACACAGACAGATTTTCAATTTCCTTGTGTAATAAACAGATGCTTTAGGATTTGGATGTAATTTAAAGGTTTAAAATATCACATTGAGATTGATGAATAAATCAGTTGTGAAGACAAAAACACTGATGCCTGTTGAAAATACCTCTCCAGACAGGCAGGAAATGAAATTAGTTCCCAGTAAAGTGTGGAGATGAGGATCACTGTTTAGTTCTGCTGCAGGCTTTTTAGGACTTGCTACAGTGGCACAACGAAACTGCTAGGGCTACAGAAATCTAATTAAAGAGCAAATGTCCCTCCTGACATCGAATTAATCTTTATCAAGTTCCCTATTTTTATTTCAATCTGGAACAAGAAAATGAAATTTAAAATTCTAGGCATGTTGCAAAACAGTTGGTGATTTTCTCTTGAGCATTACAATGCAAAAACTTTCAGCATTGTTTAATTAGACCTCAAAGCACTCATTTTCTGAGCAGTTTTTATTTCATCATTGTTTGTTAAGGGCTTACATAAATAATACACAAATATTTACTACAAGCCTGGTACAAGGCTGTGTGCCTCTGTTGTACAGATCTATATTTCTAGAGCTTTTTCTGTTGATGAAAAAGCTGAAGTAACTATTGTTTACATTTTAAACATCACCATACTTTATCGGTCCTTCGTATTGAGTTCAGGTTTCTTAAATTACTTTGCCTTAACAAGCATGCTTTCCAACACCCACGTTATTACTTTTGCTGCTGGTGTTCTGGTAGCCCTCAACCAGGCTCAGTGCTGGCCGGTGCTGGGTCCTGCCCTTCAGCAGCACTCGGACCACGTCTGCAGAGCCCGGAGCTGGCCCCTGCCCGCTGGTGTGCCCGCATCAGTCTGCTTCTGGACCTGGAGCCTGGCTCCGATACCTCTGCACTGCATTAAAATCTATCACGTGAGCACATCCTAAGAAACAGGCCCCAATCCCAGGCAGTTATAAATTAAACAGACTTGCCAGGTGCAAGATGAAAGTGTTGTTACCCTTTGTTTTGCAGATAGCAGAATTAAGTTCGGATCTGTGGTCCCAACCTTAACATGAGATGTATCAATTCAGTCCAAGCATAAATGCATGCATGCTTCGCTGGAAGTAAGCCAAAGCAATTTGGCTGTGGTCACACAGAAAAACAGAGAAAATATGAGAATAAGTCCCCACCCAGTTCCAAGCTGGCATTTAAACCACAGGACCATCCTCCTGTATCTAAGCTATTTATTTGTCCGAAGTCCAGAAGAAATGGAACGGATATTGCACTGATGGTCTCTTCCTCTGATTTGGGGAACTGTCTCTTCTTGCTGCATGACTACTTGAGTCTCTGTACCTGCTGTCTTGCATGCTTCGCTACAGCACTGCTGGAGCTACTGGCCCCATATAGTGTTTTTCTTGTATATATGATCGTTTCATGAAGGCTGATAAGAGATAGCTCAGGGGCTTGGCTACCAAAGGTAAACCTGAGTGCCTGAGGGTATGATGTGTTTCTGTGGCTAGTTTCCTCTTACAGCTAAATTAGGAAGGCCTTATGGGTGATGTTTTGTATAAAAATGATGACAGTGATATACAAAACCAAATTTTCTGCCTTCTAATTACACAAAACTCCAATTAAAGTCATTGGGAAGTCTGCTCAATCAGAGTTTCCTTTGGATTCGTGGCAGGCATGGGGGCTGTTTATGCAGCCTGATGTGCAGGTTTAGAGCCTGGTGAAAAGGCTGTGTACAGAGCATGGGGGTTACAGTCACCACAGGTGGGTTTTATTTTACTTTATGAGCAGGGCAGTATACGTTACATGACAACTAGATGCTAGATTGAGCTCGTGAACGTGCCCACTACTAATGGTCTGTTTCTCAAAGTCATCAGGGACAAAGTGAGGCTTCGGAGAGCATTTAAGGTACTGAGATGCGACTTGGGATATTCTTCATGTGGAAGAGATTACGGAGGAAAGTTGCGCTTATTTACAGCCTAGGCAAGAATCTGCAGTCAGGATGAGTGGAGTGAGGTGACGGTGTACACGAGAGGCACGACAGGGCAGAACACCTGCGGGACCTCCAGGGAAGAGATGGAGTAGAAGGCACCAAGAAAGAGGGATGTGAAGAAGAAAGTGGCATGTTGTATTTGAAGGAAGCTCATTTCTGGGGATGGAGGGGGCTAGGCAGGAACTGAGAATACTCATTTATCTTGATTAAAAGTAGTGTGGCTGAGTTGTTAAACCTGCAGAAAAAAACCCAGGTCTTCCCAAAACTCCTGTCTTAATGAAGGCTGTGTATATGAAGCGATCACACATAATCCACCAGAATTTAAAACTAAAAGCTATGAGCTTTAATCCTATCTATACTGTATGTGGGCTTTGGCCAGAAGGAATGGATTTTCAAACTAGGTATCTTGGTTCAAGTTCAGTTTCTGGTTTAGCAGCTACACATCCAGTTAACTTGAGTGGGAATTATATGCCCTTGCCCCAGGAAGGAATTTGGTCTGTTTTTTTTCAGCAGGTATCGATTGTAGTTCTTCTAACTTTGCAGGAACATGATGTACATTTATATAGGGTGAACCAGATACACTAGCCTTGAAATGTCAATTGTTCTTCTGGTTTTGAAACACAGCATTTAAACATCCTCGTATATCAAAAGAGCTAAAAATTATTATGACTTTTCATATGACAGATATTTCAGGGAGCAGGTTAGATGTCTCTTTGTAACTTCCACTTTTTTCCTTGTCTTCGTGGTTTCAAAAAGCAAGTTATTCTGTGCTACTTTCACTACATTAGTCCAACAACTGTTAAAAAGCTTTGGTTGAATTTCTGTTTAGTTGAGAGAGAAGTACAAATAAAAGAAGCAGCAGATGGTCCCTTTGTGACTGAATGAAGAAAAAGGGTTTTGAGAACAATATGTGAATAGGTGTAGTCTAATAAAACAGTCAGCCACCTGCTGCCTACATCCTTCAAAAAGATTCTGTTGCATATTCTGGGAATTAACAACTTGTGCGTGTCCTTACGTTTAATCTAAATGGAAGCTCTAAGGAGCAAACAGACCTTTTTGCCCCAGTGCTGATTGAGTTGTTCTCTTGGTTTTGAATTGTTCCTACTCTGTCCCTTTTAGTTCCATCCTGTGACTGTGTAATAGCTAACAACGATTTGGCAGTGTTTCATTTCTCAAACCAAAGAAAGATTTAAAAACTTAGAAAGCACCTACACATTTTTTCCTATTTTAAGTTTGATAACCTAAAATACACCTGGAAAAGAAGTATTCTACTATTTCACAGTACACACCATTTGTTTGTTGTTTTTTTTTAATGCACCCAACCTGTTGCTTGGTTTCCATACATTGTAATGTACTTGCTTTCTCCTCTAGGGATTTACTCTTCAGCCTGATTATCAGAATATCATCAATCCAACATCAACAGCTGCACAAGTTGTTACCCAAGCAATGGAGTATGTTCGTTCAGGGTGCAGAAATCCTCCAGCACAGACTGTGGACTGGAATAATGACTACTGCAGTAATGGGTAAGCAGCCAGTGAATGCCACCTTGTGTTGAGCAACATTCATGACACAAGTATCTGATAGAGAATTTGGAAACAGCTTTATTGCCTGTTTCCCTACGGTATTTCAGAAGTGCACTGTGTTTATTTAGCAGTGAGACTGTTGTGGGGGAACAAATTTTCGATACATACATTTATTAGACACTGTTATCACCTTATTGCAGCACATACACTTTGGTCTTAGAGAAATTCCATTCCTTAGAAAATCAGAACTGAAATCTTAGGGAGAAGGTGCAGGAAAGAAGTCTTAAGATCACTACCTCCTACTTGAGAGGCAAATGGCGTGAATTATTTTCTCCAAGTGCTGAGGAGAGTTTGCTGCCAGTGTAAACAACTAGTTTGGGTCATGACAACGCACATCAGTGAGATGCAGGGGTGATGCATGGGATACAAGATACATGGAAGGGAATGGTATGAAGATCACATGACTGTAACCAGAAACAAACCACCATACCTGTAGGAGCTCTGTGCCCTTACTGTAAGGTTAGTAGCCCCCTCAAACCCTCAACTCCTCTGCAGCATGGTTTTTGTGGAGCCATGTTACTGTCCCAGGAACTGCCTGGAAACATTTAGGACTCCGAACAGAAGGTACCTTTTGAATTTTAAATGATAGATGTTGTGCCTTGTGAACATGACCACCAGCCTGACCTTCCCTTGACCTTGGCATGGATCCCCAAGGAAACGCAGATAAAAGCTCTTGGTTGCTACTAAAGTGTCAAATCCAGCCCAGACAAATGAACACAAAGCAGAACTAAAGACCAGTTTCACCCATTGCATTTACTCAGACTGAGAATTTCACTTGCATTATTGTTTTAAAGTATTTCTGGAACTCAAACTAGAACTGAATAAAAATCTTTTTTTGGTTACTAGTTCAGAATAACACCTTGACTAGAACCCGCTGACACTGAGGCAGACTTTAACTAGTCTGCACAGCAGCATCACTTTCCCCCATACCTATCACTGTTGCCCCATGACTTGCCCACTTGTTCAGCAGAACGGTCTCACTTCTGTGCTGTATCGCCATAATGTCTTGATCTGTGCTGCAGGACCTTATAGGAGCCTACCCAGCCCACAGACTTTTATACGTGCTTAAACTGAGCTCTGAATAGCCTGTCCTCTGTCAAGCAGGCCATAGCCACCTGTGGCTTTGAGTCCTGGTCTCTTCTGGAAAAAGCAATGTGCAATCATTGCCAGCAGTGACCTCTAGGTACTCACTGGGCATAACTTTCCCACAGCAGAAGCTTTCTCTGAGCAGACCCTGTATATACCCTGTGTAGATATGCCTTTGTGAATCTCTATGCATGGATTTAACCTATCTCTGCTATAGCATTGGCATAAATTGCCAGTGCAGCGGAGCTTGCTCTGTGCTGCTCCCAGACTCCAAACCAAGTAAGCTGTAAAGCTGTGGAAGAGCAGAGCTGGTGCCTGGGTTTTGGCAAGGAAGCAGGAGACAGAGTTAAACCTCTCTCCCAGAAAATCTCTGCAGTGTGAACCAAGCCCCATCAGTGATGCTTCTTCTGCTTTAAAAGATACGTTTTTTTCTGACTTCTACAGACTGTTCCGAATTAGAAACTTTTTGCTCTGAACTGATATGCTTCAGTTGAAGCTGAAACCCAGCAAGAACTGAATGTAAAAATGTGCTAGACAGTGCATTGGCAGAAGGTCTCCTGTAGAGCCTGGTTTCCAGTAGAGAGTTGGTCTAGTTGGCTCTGCCAGAAACTTCTGGTGTTCTCTTGCCCATGCTTACCTGAACCTGCCAACCCAACATGTTTGGCTATGTCTGTGCTAGTAAATAAGACAGGCCAGAGATATCAATGGCTGGCACGCATGTTCATGTAAGTAAACTCTCTTGCCCTCGAAGGGAAGTGCCCACATCATATAGGCTGCTTATGGAGCATCGTTCCAAGACCTGTGCTAAACTCTCAGCTGTACTTATGTGGTTTGTGAAGGAGAAATAGTCAGTGCTACCAACCTGCTAGTGCAGGTGATCCAAACCAGGGCTTACACCCATGTCCCAGGCCTGTGTAGTTTAGAGCCATATGTGGTCTCCAGATTGCTACATGCCACTATGGCACTAGGATTTTACTTATTATTACCATGGTAATGCAGCCGTACTTCAGTGATGTGCTTGGAATTAATGACATGCAGTAGAGTTGCGGGGGTTTTTTTGGAAGAATAGGACTAAAAATTTTACAAATTTTTTAAAAATCACATTTGTTCTTTTTCTCTTTGAACAGGGGCATGCAGAGGGACAAAGCACTCTACCTTACCTGAAAATCTGAAACACCTCTCCTTTCCACTGAGGAATGCAGGGAAGTCTTTTCATCATGGATTGCTTTATGCAGTCAAGGCAGTTCTGCATTTTATTAGGAAATACAAGTTGCTAAGCACTTAGGACTATTTGAGCTTGTGGGTCACTCACTCTGGAAAAAATAGTCTTGCTTCTTTCTTTTTCTTTTTTTTTTTTTTTTTACCCCCCTTTTTTTTTTTTTTTTTTTCTTTTCCCCCCCTCCCCTGAGCTCC